GAGTTAGAATGTGAAAGTCTTGGGGATGTTGGTGGGGGAGGGGGGGGCTATCTTTGCCAGATCTGCCAGGGTCACATATATTTGTTCTGGTCCGGGCTGCAGCTTTGTACCTCCTGTCTCCTCAGCCCCCTAGGTCAGCATCATGATACCATCCACTTTCGTCAACTCTTATGTCCAGATCCCTTCTGTGAGGTGTGTAATAGCACAACGGCTGAGGTCAATCGGCTGCTGTTCTCAGAGGCCCTGGAAGATGCTACTCCCTCCGTGATCCCCTTGGTTTCCACAGCTCCTGTGACTGACTCATCCTTCACTTCATTCCCTGACTTCTCAGCAGTCCGTTCAGGAGACCTATTACCAGTGCCTTTGCCTGAGCCTTCCCCACCCCACCCCACTATCTTCTCACCTAACCCAGTGACCTCTTTAGCTGACTTTTTCTTACCCTCACCCCCTGGGCAGTCCCTGCCACTAGAGCCAAATACCTTGGATTCTGAATTCCCAGTGACCCATTCCATACCCCAGCCCCTCGCCTTTCCCCCTCTCCTACTACATGACATTCAGAAAGGGGATCCTGTCGTCCAACTAGAGGCCACTTTACCTCTGAATACCATCTCTGCTCTTGACCCCACCATTTCACAAGATATCACCCTCTTACCAAATCTGTCCCAGGCAAGGAATCCCACTGATTCGTTTGCTTGTCATCATACACCACCAACCTTGTCTGTTTTACCACCGCCAGACTGCACTTTAACTGTGACTCAATCTAAATCAATGTCCATCTCAATGAAGCCTGATCCTGTGAAGTCATCTCCAGATAGCCCTGGTAGGTTGTCCACTTATGTCCCAACAATTAGAGGTAGTGACTGCTCAAGCCTGTCAGTTTCAGAATTCTCCTGTTGTCAGGCTCAGGCCAAGAACGTGTACCTTCCCACATCAGCACACTCCAATTTTCAGCAAGAGCAAGTTTACCTCCATCTACCAGAAACCTATCTCTGGAGAGACTCTGCTACTAAGCACAAGGAGGTCAGTGCAATTTCTTTCCCTGGCCTTCACTTCCAGGCACTCTTGGAGAGAGAAATGAAGAATAGAATGGCTTTCCAGATTTTAAAGAAGAAAGTAAAAGAGGAGGGGCCATTTTCCAAACAAATGTGGTCAGAATACCAATGGACATCTGAAGGGAATTTGCTGCAGCCATTTGATGTACAGGTCACCACAGCCCCCCAAACTGGCTGGAATATTGAAGGCAAACCAGAGCAGCTGCACATTTATCAGCAGCTCCTCCACGTCAAGTCTTTGGGGGAGAACTTGCCTCAGAAATATAGCCAATTCTTCTGGGGTCTTCCTTCTTTGCACAGTGAGTCCTTAGTAGCCACTCTCCTGTTTTCTAGTAGTACTTCCCCACTAGGGTCTCACTTTGTCTTATTCAATGGAATTCATAATACCTCTGCAGTCAAAATGCACAATCTAGTATCTGCACCACTTTCTCGTTCCCATCACCTTCCTCTCCCCAGTGTACATCTCCAACCCTTGCCTCAAACCCTGTTCCAATCCCAGCCCCTACCTTTCACTCAGGTGAACACCCAGGCCCATTTTCAATCCCGCCTCCCAATCATACCATCTTCTTCATCCCAGGTTAGGGACTGTGGAGTGTCTTTCCATAGATCCAAGAATGAGTCAGACTCTCATACCTTGACTGAACATCAACACCTGGAATGCCATCTGTTGCAGAAGCAACAGGAAAGCTTGTGGGGTTTAGTCCCTGTGTTCCAGAAATCTCAAGAAACCATTTGTCCTCGAGCTCCCAACCTTCCATTGGTTAGCCGGTCATCCCATGCCCACGTACCAGTCTCCATCCTTCCTGGCCATTTTCATATCACCTGTGAACCCCAGGACACATGGGAGTTACATAGTCCAAGGGAGGTAATCCCATGCTCCTGCCCCCATGACTGTAGAAACCTAGAGTCCCTAGCACTGATGGAGCCTCAGTGTAAATTAACAGGAATCTCTCAGCGAAAAAGCAGACATGTTCACTCACAATTCTATGAGCTTCAGGGCCATAGTAGCAAGGATCTAGCAAAGACTGAACTGAATCTCTCAGGAAGATTCCGTGAGAGGGTCCCAAGAAAGTCCCAGCTAAGGAAGGATATGAGGAGGAATCTTGGGTATATCCTAGAGAAGAGCCCACAAAGGGTCTCAGAATGCTACCTAGTGAAGGGTCGCAGGGCTGCCTTGGAGACAACAAGTAACTGTGTGTGTCATTCAAGGAATCACTCAGGGAATGAATTATTAAATGTCTCAAGGAAGGAGACAGACCAGAATCAAATCAAAAGCGCTCTTAGATTATATATGAGCAAGAAGTTTTGGCAGATCACAGCGGGTAGGATTCCTATAGGTGTGTGTTATTCATGGCTGGCTGATGACAATACATTGCCTTTCTCTGGGAGTTCCCAGACTACCTCAGAAAACACAAATTCAAAAAAGACTCTGGTGGGTAGGGTTTACTGCCAGGTCACCACTCTAGGACTTTCTTTTCTTGATCCCAATACACGACAGGTACTAGAGGCACATATTATAAGATTTCGCATGAGTCAGAGGTGGGGTCTACCCCTCAGGGTTCTTGAATCCATAAAATTCTCTATGTTGAGAGAAGCCAAAACATGGCCTCTTCCCCAAGTTGACTTTCCCTCCTCAGCCATGCATATTTCTGGGGTGGATTCCAAAGCTGAGTTTTTTAAACCCCTTGAGGGAAGCTCCAAAACTTTTTTGGGAAACAGGGTGAGAACAGCAAATTCAGTCCCCACCCTGGATCATCCTCTCCCTACTATGTTATCTGTGGGCAATGCAGGACGGGGGGTCCTGAAGGCATCACACTCTCACACTGACCATAGTCCTGCCCAGTGTATCCAGATACCTGAGTGTGGCAGCCAGACTTTTCAGCCCCTTACACACAGCATCGGAGCTCAGGTCAGACCCAGTGAGACTGTACCAGAAAACACATGTGGCCCAGAGGTGCCCACAAGGCAAGCTGCGGCTGGACATGAGCCAAGGCATGAGAATGTGGGTTCCAGCAACAGAGTAGAAATGGTACAGGGCAAAGTGATGGTGGAGAAGAATTTAGAAGAATTTGCCATGTCCAACCTGTCCACGGATATATTCGACACCGAGGAGCTCCGTACTCTTCAATCCCAATCTTGTGACACCTTGACAACCAGTGAGTTGGGAAGCTCCAAAATGAGAAGTGTCAGTAGGAGTAAGGTAGAAACTGCCCTGACCACTGAACATCCGTCACCAAAAATACTGGTTCCCCAAGATTCTAAGCTATCAGAGCTGAAAAGACAGCTTCTGCGTGAGTTAAAGTTTAAGTTGGAGAGTGAGGAACATAACCAGGCTCAAAGATGTCCCACTGACATGCCCCTTACTTCAGATAGCTTGACTTCCAAGGCTTCACTGACTCCGTCCCAGAGTGTCTGCAGCGGGGTCTTGGAAGCATCCCAGGTGCTGCATGTCCAATTGGAGGATAGCAGAATTAGCATGGGGCAGCAGCAGGAGTCCTGGGACTCTAAGGTGGCCTTCCGTAAGTGTCAGACTAAGAATTTCCCACAAAGAAAAAGTGAAAGGAAAGTGAGACCTCAGGATGATTCCAAAGCAAGAAAATGTAGAAGTGAGGACTCAGGAGTAGGGACATCTGCAGGCAGAAAGGAGAGCTACCGTGTTGAGGACAGAAAATTAGAGAGTGCTTCCCCATCTCTGTCACAGAATGAACAGTTTCCTCCTGAAAGTTACTTCAGAAAAAAGATGAGGCACTTTCTTCAGTGGATCAAGTCCAAGAAAAAAATCACAGGGCAGCAGGAATGTCCCCAGCAAAAAGGCAAGTTCATGTCAACCTTAGTGCAGCACCAAGACCCAGTTGAAAGTGTGACTACTTTTGTGAGCGATGGGCCTCCTGAAGCTCACAAGCTCATGACTACCACTGGGAAGGTCCTAGAAGAGAAGCTGGCATGTGACGGATCTGAGGCCTCAGCAGTAAGCCAGCAGCAGGAGGAACTACAGGCCCAGAGATATTCCTCCAACTATTGGGCTCTCTCTGAGCCACAACAAAAGAAACGGGCAAGTATCAAGTCCTGCAGCCATGAAGCCGTCTGTGCTGACCAGAACCGTCTTAGCAGTGTCAGACAGAACAGACACAGGGTCAGAGATCCCCGAAAAGTTGTGACCTTCAAGGGCCAGCTATTAAGCCAGAGTCAACCCCCTTCTTCTCTGCCTTCCGGGGAGCCTGTGTCTCATCCAAGCCCCACCTGTGTGCATCAAGTATGCCAGGTCCTTTCGGCCACCAGGGGTGACCCTGATGAAAGTACTGTGTTTAGTGATTTGACTCTTCTACTCAAGCAGAAAATGCTTCTCCAGCACTTCCACAGAGAAAAATTTCCCTGAAGAAATCATTCCATCCTTGTTAAGAAAGCCTCACAGTTGTCATGACAATATATCCTCTGATGAGGACAACCTTCCGCACAACTAAGAATATCAATCCTCCCCAATAAATCTTTCTTCTAATAGAGAGTGCTGTTCTCTGTGTGCTGCACTGGGACTGGGGCTGGGGCTTGTGCTTAGGGAAAGGAAGAAGTGTGTTCAGCTCTTACTGGTTTCCTCTCTGGCTTCTATAAGTGCACCAGTCCCTTGTAAGAAGCTGGACAGTGGCCTTCTCAGTTTCATCCTGGGGTCCTTTATTTGACCCTGCTCAGATGTCCTGTATTAAAACATTTACTTTTTTTTTTCATAAAAAGTACAAAAAGCTTACTCTGAAAACCTTCAGGCCTTTACAAAGTGAGAAAAACCCTTAAAGAGCAGAACTTGGTTCAAACTCTCTCTTCATCTGCGCCCAAACTATCTATTGGGTGGGATGAGTTACTATGTCACCTAGGCCTCACCTCCTGGAGGCTACTCAGGGCTTATTAGAACCCAGTGATACCATTTCAGCATAAGAGTATACGGGATAGTCTTTGAGCATGAAGACAGTACCTCCAGGGATGTTGCCAGGGACGTTGTCCTCCTCTATGGTGCCTGCCTTCCCAAACATGCAACATTTTACGCCAAGGTTACAGTAATTTAGGACTGCACTAATTATCTATTGCTGTGTAATGGACACTACAAAAGGTAGTGGCTTAAAAAATACATACTTATTATCTCACAGTTTTTGTGGGTCAGAAATTCAGGCGAGGCCTACCTGGATTTTCTGCTTCAAGGCTGCAATTAAGCTGTCGGCTGAGGCTACATTCTCATCCGAAGGCTTGACTCGGGAAGGGCCAACTCCTGTACCCATTCACACAGTTGTTGGCAGGATGCAGTTCCTCAAAGCCTGTTGGACTGGGATCCTCAGAACCTTGTTGGCTCTTGGCTAGGGCTGGTTGGTTCCTTGTCACGTGGGCTTCTCCAGCATGGCAGCTTACTTCATCAAAGCAAGGAGAGAGTTTACAAACAAGACAGAAGTTACAATCTTTGGTAAACTAATAACGGAAATGACATCCCATTACCTTTCCTTTATTCTATTAGTCAGAGGCAAATCACTAAGTCCTGCCTATGCTCAAGGGGAGGGGTAATTACACAAGGGTGTGAACATCAGGAAGTGGGGATCATTGGACTCTTCTTAGAAGTCTTCCTAATGCAAGGGTTTCTTCTTGGACACCCTACTCAGTTTGCTGAAGCAAAAGTGGCCAAAGGTGCCAAGTGGATCTTTGTCCTCATTCATATCCAAGTCATCAAGGTCAAAACTGTTTAATGGCTAAACGGAGTGGCGGCTGGTAAGTAAACATCAAAGAGATTGGAGCATCCAAAGAAGGAAGGAAAGGTGGTATAGAGAGGTAAAGGTTGTATGGGTTCTTCCTGAATTGTAAAGTAAAATGAGCCCTCAGGACCACCTGACTACTACTGTAGTCAGCCTTAGAGGGGAGGAAAAAGTAGGTGTAATATGTCTCATCCGGCTCACTATGTCTCATACGGCTCTACCACAGTCTCTCCACTTTGCCCTAGCTCCCAGACCATAGGTCTAAAGAAGTAACCTTCAGCTTTTGTAGACCTAGTCAAGCTTATAGAGGAAGCAAACCCTTCAGGTTGCAAGGTTTAATTTCTATTCTTATTAATTAATATATTTAATATAGTACATCCGTCATTTCAAATCTAACTCTCATAGCTTGAACATCAGAGAGAATTGGTCACCCAGTTGACGGAAAAGCCAGTACTAGGGATCTTACAGCATGTAACTCCCATTTTGAGACATTTTTCACGTTACCTATGGCTTGAGCACGTCTAACTAAGGGAGATGTGAAGGCTGAAAGGGTTAATAAGCTGGGGCCACATAACAAGTCATATCTAATGTGTATTGCTTCCATTCAGAGAAATATTGAATGAGGCAATGAGACAGAATTTGGACACTTAGAACACCTAGGAAGTGATCTGTCCAAATGACTTAGTAACACCATCCATGAGTGATCTCATACTACTTTTCTGCTTCTAGGATTGTTTTCCTTTCCTCCAGATTCCTGTTCCTATGGGAAAGCATCACGATCATAAAAAACTAAGAAAGTGTGTTAGCTGAAAAATGATTAGAGAGATGAAGATCAATTTCTCTAGGAAAAGATGTGCTTTGTGTCCACAGTCAGGGATCACAGTGTTATGAAATTTTAGGAGAGTGTCATTTACGTGATATAGTGTGGTGCCTGAAGAATTGTCCCTGACACATAATGCAATGGGAATGGGTTACCTGAATTTTTACAACCTCAAGCTTAAACTCTAAACGTAACGTCAGGGTTGACAAAATGCATGTATTGATTGGTACCTTAATGTGGATTGGGCATGGTGACCCCAGTTCCCAGCTTCAGGCATTGAGAATTTCTCTGGTGCCAGGTGGTGCCTAAGGCGATCAGATTCCTTGAGGCAGCCATCAGAAGGACTAACACAGATAACTGTGCCACAGTCGGTGGTTGCAGTGAAAGAGCCCAGGCTATGAGAAAGGGCTCTTCTCTTGAGGCTCTTCCCCTAGAACTTCCACTGGTCCTGGATCAGAGCCTAAACTGGGCTATTTTCCTGGGGTCACAAGGGCACATTTGGTCTTCATTAGGAAGGCCACGTGGCAGGTTCAGAGACTTGTAGAGGCTGCCTCCTTATTTCTCCCAGGAGACTCAAGGTCTCTTCCTTCCTTCATTGGTGGGGGTGGGGGAAGCAGGGAAAGAACGGATTCATATGTATGTGTAGCCGTGCTTCCCTGTGGGGAGGAGGTTGGGCTGGCAATGACAAGAGTGGGTAATTTTCCTCTGTAGGGATTCTCTCCCAGCTTAACGCAGCCTTCATTTGAGGCAGGATATTTTACCAAGCTACTGATTGCTGCTTCTATTCCCTGCCAGAGGGGACTCCAGAAGGAATAAAAATTAACTTCCCCTTTTGTCTTACAGGAAGTTCTGAGCTTCTGGTCTCAGGGGTTATTAATGGTTTTCATGTTTCCTGACCCCCAAAGAGAAGTTGTGAGGCACCTGTTGTACAGTCCTGTCCAGACTCTTACGGGTGAGGAAAATTTTCACCAGGTGTTCTCAGGAGAGAGGAGATAGGCATTGATGTAGGTGCTGGGTTGAAAGGAGAGTTGCCTAAAGGTACCAGTGGCTCCAGTGACTTGATACTAAGGGTGTAAGGTGAGTTCCTGAGTGGATGGGTTCTGTGTGGAAGTCCTCTGGGAGACAGCACAATCTTTCTAAGGGATGAAATGATGTTTGCTGAGATGAATGATCATCAAGCCGCATTACCTTGGGAGCTGCATCAAAATTCTGCATTGCCGCACTGGGCATAGAGGCTATACAACCACTGGCCTATTAATGGGCCAGTGGAGCTTGGGCAATGAACATCCCAATGGCAACCATGATAGACCCAAGAGCAGAGTCTTTTTCTTATATATTTGCCTGATATTTTATATTTGCCTGATGGCAAAAGCCTCTCCCCGCCCCATCTCCATTGCCAGTGATGACTAATATTGGATACCTTCCTTCAACATGGGGGCTCTGATCCAGATTTAATTCAATTTAGAAAAATTAAGTGCTGCTTGTTGTACTTCAGCTTTGTAAAACATGCTTTTATGTATCTTATCCCATTTGATATTTACAATTCTTCAAGGTAGATTTTTTATTTTTTAAAATTCAATGAAAATATAATGTATTATTGGTTTCAAACGTAGAGTTCAGTGATTCATCAGTCTTATATAATACCCAGTGCTCATTACATCCCATGCCCTCCTTAATGCCCATCACCTAGTTACCTCATCCTCCCACCTCTCTCCCCTCCAGTCACCTTCAGTTTGTTTCCTATGATTAAGAGTCTCTTATGGTTTGTCTCCCTCTCTGATTTTGTCTTGTTTTATTTTTTTCCTCCTCTCCCATATATCCTGTTTCGTTTCTTAAATTCCACATATGAGTGAAATCATATGAGAATTGTTTTTCTCTGACTGACTTATTTCACTTAGCATAATAACCTCTAGTTCGATCCACGTCATTGCAAATGGCAAGATTTCATTTTTTTGATAGCTGAGTAATGTTTCATCTATCTATCTATCTATCTATCTATCTATCTATCTATCTATCTATC